ATTCACCCACTCCACTCATCCCTTCCCCCAACCCATCCATCCACCCATCCATCCCCCCGTCCATCCATCCATCCCTTCCCACAATCACCCCCATCCCTCCCTCCCTCCATCCATCCATTCCCCGCACACCCCTGCCTCCCTCCCATCTATCCCCATCCCAACCTACCATTTGCTTACATCCCACCCTGCCTCCGACCGTCCCATCCTCCCACCCTGCGTCTCCCCCGTGCCCCCTCCCGCTGCCCTATCCCAAGACTGCCAGCCTCATGGCCCCTCCTACTCTTCCCTCCCTGATTGTCCCCCCCGTCCCCCATCTCCCTCTGGGCCCGCTCACCCCGTCTTGGCGAAGTTGGTCCAGTAGGTCATGACCACGGCGCTCAGCATGACATCGTTCTTGGAGAAGTTGCAGGGGAAGAGGTCGGTGGCGCCGATCATGGGCACCCCGAAGACGTAGGGGATTTCGTCCCCGTGGGCAGCGTCGGCCCACTCGGGACGCGTGTCGGTCTGGCAGTGGTGGTAGAAGGTGTAGAAGTAGACGGGCGACTGGTACTCGGCGTGGAGCTTGGCCGTGGCCACGGCCGGCGCCACCCACTGGTGGTCGGTGAAGAGCGCCAGCAGGGTCTTCCGCCGCATCTCCCCGTTGTCCCGGTCGGCCCAGTCCGTGTACATGAACTTGATGGTCTCCCGCAGGATGTCTTTCCCCTCCGGGTAGCCATAGAGGTTGTCCACGAAGTTGGAGATGGTGAAGTCGAAGTAACTGGCCGAAATCCCGTCTTCGTTTTCCATCGAGTCCTCCACGAATTTCAGCCCCTCGCCCTGGTTCACCCCGATCAGGATGTCATAGTTGAGAAACTCCCCCTGCTGCATGAGGATCTCCGGGTCATCCGGCACCACATCCCCATCCACCACTGGCCCGAATGCGATGTGGTAGCGGGCCGGCTGGATGTCCTGGTCGACCAGCTCCCGGTATGGCTTTCGGCGCAGGCAATCCACCGTCTCGCTGGTGTCCAGGTGGTCACAGCCCACCTTGGAGGCCAGCATGCGGGTGTATTTCAGGGGCTGGTAGTTGACTGACCAACTAGAGATGGCTGTGCCGCTCTGAGCAATGGCCTTTTGAAAGAGACCTGCCGGGAGAGAGAGAGAGGGTCAGAGACAGCAAGAGGGGGACACACCGAGCTGTGGGGATC